CCACCCCCACAACATGATGGTGTGTTTCCTTCAGAAGAAAAAAATAATAATTCAATATCTGCCACTCGCCCGACGTCCTCCTGCTCCAAGATTGACGCCCCAAATTGGTCTCAGACGTCCTGTCTCTGTCAGTGGGAGGATTACCCCAGTCAGGAGGAGGAGGAGGAGGAGGAGGAGGCAGGGGAGGGGGAGGAGGAGGAAGAAGAGGAGAAGGAGGAGGAGGAGGAGGAGGAGAGGAGAGGAGGAGGAGGAGGAGGAGGAAGGGTAAGACGACAAGGGAGAATTATGGTAAGACGATGAACGAATCTGTGTACCGAAACAGCACTTGCAAAATGAGACCCACCCGAAAAAAGGCAGATCTGCACGCACACACACGCACACACACGCACACACACACACACACACACACACACACACACACACACAGATGAGGAGATACACACAAGCACCTGTATATGTCAAAGTCCTCCCACATTGAAAAAGCTGTTCCCCTGGGTCCAATCTCTTCTCTCTCTCTCCTGGGTCCAATCTCTTCTCACCGTCACCTATCTCCCTTCTAATCTTTTTTTCTCTCTCACATCGCATCAAGTGGCCAAATCTGACTCTCACATACCCAAGGGACTTAGTGTGATATTCCCAGCGGACAGCACTCATCCCTGCCTTATTGACTCTCTCTATTTCTCTCTCTCTCTCTAATTTCTCACTGCATTTTTCCATCTTTGTTTGTGACTATTCTTTTTTCTCTCTATGTTTTGATCTTTTGTTTGCTGATCACACCATCTATGTCTCTGTCTTTATCTCTCGCTCTCTCTCTCTCTTCTTTGACACTGTTTCTCCTTCTCTCTCATTTTTTTTTTAAGTTCTCTTGTGCCCGCGTTCATATACAGCCAGTCACTATATCTTGCCCACCTCTATATTTCAATTCATTTCCTATATATCTATAACAATTATTATACCTCACATATAATTACACATCTATCACTGTTATAGAAGAGATTAACTAATATAACCTCATGATAATTTCTATATTTTTTTTGCATAATTATAATAACTTAAGAAACGACAAAATAAACATCAATTTTTCTATAATCACCTATAATATATTTGTTTGTATTATCTTCTTTATAACCACTGCTATAACTGCTCCCATTATAGGTATGTACTCGCCCTTATGATATATATTGCTCGAGTGGGCGTGGGGGGGGAGGCGTGGGAGGGCGTGGGATATGGGGGGTGGGGTGGGGGGACTCTGGGGAAATTAGGGATGCAATGGGGGCGTGTGGGGTTGAGACGGGGGTGCTTGAGGTGGCGTGGGTTTGTGTGACAAGGTGGTGTGGAAGGCGTGTGTGGCTACGGGTGCTTGAGAGGGCGTGTGGGCGTGTGTGGATGGGGTGCTTGAGAGGGCATGGGGGACGGGTGCCCGGAGGTGTGCTTCAGTAGGGGTAAGGGTGTGTGTGTGTGTGTGTGTGTGTGTGTGTGTGGCTTGGGTGTTTGAGAAGGCATTGGGAACGAGTAACGGGAGTTTACTTCAAGAGTCGGGGATGGGGGGGGGGCGTGTGTGGTTAGGGCGCTTGAGGAGGCGAAGGGGAAGGGAGCGTGGAGGAGGAGGTCCCTTGAGGGCGCCGACACTCCAGTGACACGCGGCGCCACTCGCCCGGGTGATAGATGCTGCCCCCGGGGACTTCCTCCTGCCTCACCTGTCCTGACGACCTTTTCCTCCCTCACCTGTCACCTGACGACCACCTCCTCCCCTCACTTCTCACCTGACGACCACCTCCTCCCCTCACCTCTCACCTGACGACCACCACCACCACCTCCTCCCCTCACCTCTCACCTGACATCCACCTCATCCTCCCTCACCTCTCACCTGCTGGAGTATCATGCTGCACCTCTAAGGACAGGTTCGCTAATAAAGGTGAATTAGCCCCCCGCCGCGCCACAACACGTCCCTAACTCTGGACAACATCGATGCCAAAAGTTGATTACTGTACCATGTTGTGGGACATCCACGACCCAAGTTTGGATATAAGTCGTCTCTATTTGTTCGAGATATCGTATTCACAAATCACGGACGCACGAAGGAAAGTAAGTTCATAATAACGGACAAACGGAGATATGTAAGGGCGGACAGTGGAATGAATATAAGGACGGGCGGAGGAATGTAGGTAAGGACACACGGACGGGGGAAACATGCACTCCTACACACTCCCAGGACGGACGGCGACACAACAACTCATGATCACGGCGCCTCCTGGACCACTTCTGTGCCACATTGTTAGTGTCTTTACTTCAACACTGTGTCTGAGAAGCTGCCCCCGTGTGTGTGTGTGTGTGAAGGGGGATGGAAGTGATGTTGATAAAAACCATAAGAACAAATAATACAGATGGCGAAGGAAATAGAAAGAAAAGTAAAAACAATAAAGGCGAGAAGACGTACAAGTAAAGGCTCAGGTTCTCAGAGGCGTGGAAGTAATATTTTCCCATTAACTTATGATGATGCTGGTAATCAGGTGAAGATTAGGCACCACGAGTTTATTTCAGGTGATGATTAAAGACCCTATCGCTCCATAAGGTTTGGTTAGTTTTAGAGTGGTTAATCTTACGGTAAGCTGAGGGAAGGGGGTTGCCATAAGCTGAAGGGAAGGGGGTTGCCATAAGCTGAGGGAAGGGCCAGTTGAGGGAAGGGGGGTTGCCAGCAAGCTGAGGAAGGCTGCTATAAGCTGAAGGAAGGGGGGTTGCTATGTTGAGGGAAGGTGGCTAAGCTGAGGGAAGGGGTTGCCATGAAGAAGGGAAGGGGTTGCCATAAGCTGAGGGAAGGGGCCATAAGCTGAGGGAAGGGGTTGCCATAAGCTGAAGGGAAGGGGTTGCCATAAGCTGAGGGAAGGGGGTTGCCATAAGCTGAGGGAAGGGGGTTGCCATAAGCTGAAGGGAAGGGGGTTGCCATAAGCTGAGGGAAGGGGGTTGCCATAAGCTGAGGGAAGGGGGTTGCCATAAGCTGAGGGAAGGAGGGTTGCCTAATCTTCACGTGATCCGATAATTCAAAGTACGAATCTTGAAGAATCCAGACTGGTGGTGGGGAGCCGCACTTAAGAGTGGGGGCCCCGCCAGACCTCTGAGTGGCCCACACCCGTACATGGGAAGAGGGATGAGGACAGCTAATGGCTCCTGTCACTGACGGCTGTCTGTCTTCTGACGGATCCTCGGCTCGGTGGAGACGACGTCCTCCCTCCCCTTCCCCCACACCCATGATCCTCCTGGGAGGCTGTCATGAGGGTTGTCTGTACCGCTGTGATGTTGCTGTACCGTTACTATGTCTTGGGATGTTATTGTACCGTTGCTCCTCCGCGGGGTGATGATACGTCCAAGTTTCGGCACCTTGAGCTCCCCGGAGAGACAGTAAGTGCGTCACCCTCGGTTAACACACAGTACTCGGGCTTGATGCTCAGCGACGGAGAGTGACATTTATTGCGTGTACTGAGGCCGGGCCGTGGGTGGTGGGGTGATCAGGCGTCCCATTACTGTTCTTGTTCCAGCTGTCTTGTATGTGATTGGTCGACACACATACTGACACAGACTAAAAGAGACACAAATATAGCATACACACGAAAACTTAAACACACACACACACACACCAATAACAGTCATACACAGCAAAAATTTAGACAAATACACATAAACAAACCGACGTACGCACACTAGAGTGACTATCCGATCCACCTCTCTCACACACACACACAAGGTAATGAGGATGCCGTGTTTAACATCCCGCTCTGAAGACGCCCGCCTCCCCTACCCCTGACTCTCACCTCCCCCCCTGACACCCACTTCCCCCCTGACACCCGCCGTGATGAATGTCTGTTGACACACACCGACATCATGGCGATTCCTCACACCCGCCTCCCGACGTCAGAAATACTCCTTTAATGCCACAGTCCGCCATGAATAAGGATGAAGGGACTCTCGAAACCCATTCCCTGGTAATCTATTTTAATCTATTCGACGTGAGAGCATAAACTATCCCTCTCCACCACACAATCGCTTGCCCATCAGACCACCAGACACAAAACAATGGGTCAGTTATCTGATACAAGCATCAGACAGACGAGTATACAAGACAGAGACTTCACCTTTAAAATAAGGCTTAAATCATCGTTGTCATCTTCCTCCTGGCTGTGGTGATGGTCCTCAGTGGCTCTGATGAGACTCCGTGTCCACAATACACACTCAGGGTCATGCCACGCTTCATCCTGGGACTATCACAAGTTCTTCCCTCAGCTTTGGGGGGATTTTGGTGACGTTTCCGCAAGGTGGATAATTGGGTCCAATTCCCTTTTATGTTAACATTCACGATGGCTGTGTAATTACTATGGTGGCGTTCCGCAAGGTGGCAGTTTGGGACCCATTCTGTTTTTTGTCTTTAAACACAGGAGAGTGTAAATACTGTTAAGGGACGAGTTGTTGGAACGTGAATATCCCAGTCATGTCTTTCAACTATACAACAACTTCAAGACGAAGGTGTAGTAGTGATGTAAGGTCTTCTTTAAGCAGTGATGACCCGTGACCATCAACCATAACTACAACCATAGCACTTTATTGTTACACCATTTCGGGTACAGTACTTTTTTTCTATCACAATTTTACAACAGACCTTTGTACTGTACCGTCAATACAGATGGATATTTACTTGTACCGCCCCTTCAGCTACACTAGCAATAAATACGCGAGTTGTAATAACAAATATGGCACAATGAAATGTTTTGTTACAGTGATGATGTTAGTAAGGGCAGTGTACCTTTAGTAAGATTCTTCTATAAAAAAGGCGACTACTGTGTAGATCAAACGGGTTGGGTTACACAAGGTTAGATCGGTTTGGGAAAGGTTAAATTAGGTTAGGTTAGGTTAGGTTGGGTTGAGTTGGGTTAGGTCAGGTCAGGTCAGGTCAGGGCCTACTAGAGCCCAGGGCTCCCTGACCCACCAGCAGAAGGAGGTCAGGTACTCACCATACACCTTAAGCACGGCGGGGTCGGACACTCTCTTGGCCGCCACGTTTTCCGCCACACAGGTGTAGTTCCCTGAGTCTTCAGGCCGAGCCGACAGGATCAGCAGAGATCCTTCAGAGGAAATCCTGAAACAGATGATCGGAATAATGTTAAGTGAAAAAATAAATAAACTGGTCAAATAAGCCCTAATGTTCATAGGTCTCAGCAGTATTAATAGATCTCAAAGTACTTAACCAATTTTGGGACACATTTGATAAGAGATCCATTATTATTGCGTCACTTAACAGTAGCCCAAATCTTAGGTTAGGTTAGGTTGGAAGGCCTATTTGGATTGGAGTCTATTTGACCAAGGATTTCTAGTTATTCATAAAGGATCTGATACAGCCAGTCGTATAACTCTATCTTACCTGTAACATCTAACTATGGTAGAACTCTTAAATCTGATCTTTATTACAAACGCCATAAGTGCTGTCGGTTCACCTGAAGATTAGTCCCTTGTTTATTTGGGGGTGAGGTTAGGTTACGTAAAGTTAGATTAGGTTTGGTTGTTAGATTTAGATTAGGTTAAATTAGCGTTAGGGTGATTAATCTTAAGGAGGAAGTAAGCTAGGGATAATTCTTAAGGTGATTCACACCCACATATAAATAATAAATGATGGTTGCCCCCCGTGTAACAGGGATGGCCGGCCCAAGGGCCACCTAGGTGTGAATTTGTTTAAGGTGTAGAAGCTGTTGCCAACACAACAACCACACCCTAAGTTAACGAGCTGCATGACCCAGTGTAAAGTTATAGTCCGAGAAGACCGGACATCTCGCCAACTGCACTGGCTAACCATTACCCCCGGAATACGATCCGCAAATCGATTAACATCCAGGTTACCAATTACTGCTGGGTAAACAGAGGCAAATGGCGTAAAGAAACTTGCCCATAGTTTCACCCTGCCCGGGGATCAAACCCGGGTCCGTTCGCTTGCGAGGCGAGGATGATGACCATTACACCACAGGCCGCCACACACTGAGTGAGACACGCGAGGAGATGGACGGGCTCACAACCATCAGGAGGACACAGGTCGAGTGACTCACTTGTAGCTGGGGAGGAGGTCGAAGTTGATGGGCACGTTGTCCTTGAGCCAGGTGGAGGTGGGGTGAGGTCGACCTATAGGGGGCAGACACCTGAGCTCCACATGCTGCTCCAGCGGGACGGACTCTGAGTACGGCGGCTCCTCAAAGTACCGACGCAGGACTGTAAAGAAAAAAAGGTGAACACATTAATTAGTTACCTGGACTCTACCTGGCTTATGTTCAGATGCAGGACAGTAAGTACAAGGTAGACACAGGTTTATGAACAGGTAATTAGTTAGAGAATGAAGCGTGGACATAATGAGGCATTACTCAGCCACCTGTAACCAAAGATGTTTAAGTAACAACACTGGGAGGTCAAAGATTCTAAATGAGAAGTATGATAAAAAAAACACCCAAGATCAACCAGGGTGTGCGAGGATGTGGGTTGTGGGGCAGCAGGTAGGTTAGGTTAGGTTGATCAGCCTGAGGGTCGGACGAGGCCCCAAGAATCAACGCCAAGAAGACGTCAGATAAGGTACATACGTCAGTCTACCTTGAATTGGTTTTAAGGGGAACTGATCTAACCAAGAAAAAGAGACGTTATACCGTACATAAATAAGGTGGTTATCTTGGCATCTTCTGAGGTAGGTGAGGTGCAACTTGATTGAGTAACTGATTCACTAATATTAATAATCTTTAGTAGCCGGCAGAGGGGACAGGTTTCCAAGGTATTAATATTAACGGTAGTAGGAGGATGTAAATAGTAGGGGTATTATTATTCTCTTGCCGTATATAAGTCGAGGTAAAGTGTCTAGCAGCAAAACAACTAATATGGATCACGATTAGCTGACAACTTCTGCTGCCTTAACATTTTCACTTATTTTGGCTCACTGTCTGATCTACCAACACTGTTTAGTGTTGTCCCTCACGGGTCATGATTATCTTGGTGCCTATGGCGTAAATTTAGTGTTAAACACGCTTCAACCACCAACGACTGACTACACCCACCCAATCTTTACAACTGTAAAGGTAGCGTCGTCGGCCGTCGGTTCATGAGTTTAAAAATGTTTTTACCATTAAACAGAAAATTATTGACATTTGTATTTCTATGCATCCCCCTTTTTAATAATTCACCATAATATTTCATAATTAATAAAACACCTGTGAATTTTTTTTAACAAGAAAACACAACAAATATACATAAGACGTCATTTGACACCCGAGCTCACAACTTAAAGATCCAATATTGTTACATAATAAAAAAAAATCACAGTTTTGTAAATCCAACAGCATTTTAAGTGTTCCACCTCATACGTATAATAACACTATATTTTACATTATTTTCGTGTCAAAAACTTTTAATACAAAAACTTACATAAGTTGAAATTTCTTTTTGAAAGACTTACGGATATTTCTATCTGACACTTAACATAAACCGTAAGAAGGATCACAAACTTCAGACACACTTCTACTAACAGCAGTATTGTGGAGAATGTTGAGGAAGGTGAGGTGAGTGGAGGTAGGGGAAGGTGGGGGTGTTGTGCGTGAGGGAGGAGGGATGGGAGGTGTTAGCGAGGTTGGCCAGGCTGAGGATTACTGTGGATAAGAGAGAATGGGTTATGTAGCAGTGGAGGACGATGGATGGATGTTTAGGGGTAAGAGGAGGATAAAGAAGTAAGAAGGATAAGACGAAAAGTAAAGGAAAGTCCAGGGGAGGATAAGAGGCGAGGCAGCAACAAGGGAAGGGGGGAGTGGTCGACGAGGCTGGGCTAACCTATAAGTGAGGGATTCCTTGTACACCTCAGCAAGGAATTTCTACATTAAGTGAGGAATTCCTGCATTAGTGTTAGAAAAAAGGCCTATCTTATGAGACAAAAACTTGAGTTGAACTATAAACCATATAAATCACGCAAAAAGTTATATCTGATTTATAAATATACGAATAAAAGAAATACAATAATCATTCTACATCTGTCAGCCTACTGACCAATCGACCGAACGAATTCTGTCGTTTAATTATTTAATAATTTTTAGAGTACGCATTTACAAATTAGTATTTCTCCAAAATCCTCAAATTAATCTCCGCAAAGTAAGTAAGCTTCACGACTCGGCCGCACGTAATCACTCAAGTCTCCGGTATTAACCTGTCCACTTTTGATGTTGATCCCCCACTTAATGAGGCTCACGCGACGGCAACATCACTCGGCGCCACGTTCATAAGTGGAGGAAAAATAAAAAAAAAATAAAATAAAAAAATAAATTGTCTACTTAAGCCTTTTAACTATTTCGGGAATAATGGTCACGAATTTGAGCTAAGAGTGATATTCCTGGAGCGATAATTATAGACTATGCTTGGCTGACAAGGGGAAAATAAATTAGACTGAGATTATTTTGAAATTGCAACAGCTCATTTGTAACACAATTTCCCAGGGCAGCGAGTCATTAAACGCTTAATATTCAAACCACCGACAATCACAAACACGATAACCATTTTAGGCCGATAAGCAGTGCAGCATTATTTATTCATGTAATTTGGTTAATGTGGATGAATCGGCGGTGAAAGAGAGAAAGAGAGAGAAATAAATCTAATGGTGGTGGCTGGCTGGTCACGTCACCCAAGAGGCCAAGCTCATCCAGCATCACGTTAAGTCCCTTTTTATCACAACTTTAGCTAAATCAAAGTTTTGGTAAGAATGGCAAATGGCAGAACTGAAGTGAATATAATTTAAACTGTATTAACAGAAATTCTTGATATGATAAACGAGTGTTGCAAGGTAAGTTTAGTTAAAGCTGTTGGTCAAACATTAACATGGAGTTTGTGTATGAGTGTCAGGTCTCTTTGTTTTGATTCCAGGGAAGCTGGTGAGGGCGTCCGGCTACATGTTAGATAAATATTACGAGCACAATTACTAAACCTTAATTTTTTCTTAAAGTAGGCGACCAAAACCTATTCTAACTACCTTGGGGTAATTTTGGTTACATTAGGGTTAGTCGACTGGTTTTCTGGTTTTATTTGTTGGGATTTATTTACTAACCTTCGCCATTCTACCTTCAGGCACGACTGAGTAAAAACACAGCATTAGCTTCCGGAGTAGATAAAACCTATTAGACAGCTAAATAGATCTATGATTTCTCCTTAACATACACAAGTTCTGAATATATTACTCAAATACATATAACGAGCCTGAAAAAAACATATTAACCTAATCCTAAAATGTAATGAGTGTTTGTATGGCTTCTTTAAAAGTGTCGTAGGTTAAAGCACATACGTTCATAGCACCAGTTAAGGGAGCCATAGTTAACGTACGTGAGAATATTTGTGAATTGAGATCCAACACAGGTAATGATGGTGAGGCTGAGAGTGAAAACATATCTCACGTAATGACTAAATTACTTCTTTATCGTACCTGAGGAAAAAAATCAATTAAGGGCTAATGGACAGGTGTCGTTGATGGCCTGATCTGGAGTGTCTGTCTGTCTGTCTGTCTGTCTTTATTCGTCTCTTTATCACGAGAGAGAGAGAGAGAGAGAGAGAGAGAGAGAGAGAAACATGACTCACACCTACCACTCAGTCTCTCACCTATCAATCAACTATCTATGGGCAGGTGACTGTCGGCGTCAATTACCTCCACTGTCTATCAGGCGAACCAAATGGACGACACGAACTGATGATGGCTTGGCAGACGTGTCGTGGGCGTGGGGGACGGGAGTAAAGGACGGGAATAGAGGATGAGGGTAGGAGGGGGGGGTATTAGCGTGGGGATAGAGGTGGCCATGAGAGTAGCCTTAAAATACCACTACATCACGAGAGAGAGAGAGAGAGAGAGAGAGAGAGAGAGTCACCCAACACCACTATACATCACTCAGGTGTCAACAAGCCGCTACTTTACTACACACTCAGGTTCGAAGTCGATTTTTTTTTTACTCGTAAGTGAGGACGCATCTACCTGACTCACTTAAGTCCAAAGGTAGATGGATTCTCAAAGGTTAGTACATTCAAGGTAGAATCTCAACGTAACTTCTGCCTAATTTTGACCGCCACCATTGTATCGTAAGTAAATCAGATAAATGTATTCTCAAACTCAAGAATTTTTCGGATTAAAATAAATAAAAAGAATCCACGATTTTATTGAGATTTAAAACACGATTATTATGTACGATTTTCTGATAATCTAAACATGAAAAAAAAATGTATGTAATTTAAACGATTATCACGAACGATTTTTGAGAATTTAGACACGATTAAAAGGCCTAGTCAATTAGTGGAAGGTCTGCAGGTACACCAGGGAGGTCAGGTAAGAAAAGGGATATTAAAATGGGGGTAAAAAGGGGGTTTTAATCAAGTAATCTGTTAGTCATGTGTTAGTGGGTGCCAGGGGGTGCCAGGGGGTTCCAGAGGGTGCCAGGGGGTGCCAGGGGGTGCCAGGGGGTGCCAGGGGGTGCCAGGCCTATTTACCTCCTCATCTACCTGTCGTACTTCCCTCCAGTGCCTCTCCACCTTTGTCTTCACTGGACTCCTGGGATGATGATGATGATGATGATGGTGGTGGTGATGATGATGATGATGATGATGATGATGGTGGTGATGATGATAATGATGGTGATGATGATGGTGATGATGATGATGATACAAAACACTATACATAAGGAGGCAGTTGGGTCGACATTACACAGGGTCTCCTTCACCTCCCTAACAGCTGGGTGGACTGTGGGCGCCTCGGTCATGAACCAGTGACCCTTAGGGAAGGAAGAGAGGGTTGTATCCACTCAGCCGCCGCACCCCACAAATATGCAAATTAGGACAGACCTGGATACGGGGGGGGGTGGGGAAGCCGTATGTGTAGAGACTTCTGGAGGAGTATATAAAACCGTGTGTGTGTATATAAGACTAGGTACACATAATAAACCTCACGTACACAGCCATACACACACATGTAAGGGACCACCATTCTCATATGACTGTTAATGTTGACTTGTTCTATTGCATCAACCTTTACACTCGGATTATTGAATGATCTTACAACATTTTTTTCCCCTTAAGTGGATATCTGAACACGTCTGTCTCTCTTAAGTTACGACACTATCAAGGGTTCTTAAATCATTCTAAGTAATGTTTTTTTATAAGTTGATATGTAAGGATGTGTCTGACTCACTTAAGGAGAGAGAGAGAGAGAGAGAGAGAGTCGGGTCTCTAAAA